TAGGACCATGAAGCTGGCCCTGGAAGGGCTAAGGGGGTCCTTACCACAGAAGTCACGTCCTCTGCTCAGTGTCCAGTCTCAACCACTCCCTTTTTCTAAGGTACTATGCCACGTCGCCAAATGTCAGTGAATCCTGAAAGAATTAAAAGGGATAATCAGTCCTTCCATCCATTCTAGAATGAGGCAGAGGCGGCACCAGTAACAGCAGGAACACAAGGTGAAGGTTTGGAGTGGGTGACAAGCCGGAGCCTGGATATGCCTAAGAAAACATACCCCCAACAGTGGGGAAAGTGGGCTGGCTGAGAATGACTACAGGCAGGTCGGAGGGAGTCCTGACAAGACAAATGAATGTTAGCCCAGGCAAAGCCAGGAGAAGACAGACGTGGGTGAAGAGCTGATGGCGAGGACACTGGCTCTCAGAAACAGGCCAGCTACAGGCCTAGCGGCCAACCTCGAAGAGCTCACTGCTCGCTCACACTGCACAGGAAGGAAGCATTCCCAAAAGAGTATCGGAAGAAATAATTAGGAAGTGATTCTTTCCAACTTTGTAGGGACAACAAAAAATGGGATCAGGCCACTGGAGATAAGAAGGTAACGAAGGGCAGGAGCCAGGCCGGGCTTTCTGACCGAGCAGCGAGGCCCTTTACAGGCCACAGCCCACCCCACTGAAACAATTCACCAGGTGACGATGAGACGGCTGCAGACAAGAACATTTCTGTGATACATTCAACAACAGGAAAAGTCGAACAAAACAGTTGGAAAGTAACAAGGAAAGGCTTAATGTAGAAAACCGGGCAAAAAGAGATGTGAAACAAGTTTTTAGATATCGGACAGGAGGCAGTGTAAGATCGTGATCTTTGAGAGGAGAGAAATAAATGAGGTGAGCCTTAGCATTGTCCCAATTCTCTGTCTGGATGCAATTTCCAGATTTAGAATATAGGGAAGGGAGATGCAAACAGAGCTTGGTGGCTTCATCAAGACACAGACCAACATTCGAAGCAGCAGAGGCAGCTCAAAGTTCCGGAGCAGATTTCCAGAAAGGAGAGAGCCATGCAGAAAAAACAGCTCCCCCCAAATCTCCATAAGATCCTCCTTGAGTCTTTCCTAACTACTAAGCCATGCATGCATAGAGTGAAACTCCAAAAGACTGAGAAAAGCATGACCAGGAAGCCGTGAGCCGAATGATTCCCAGAACACAAACATAGGCAGATGTTCAGGGTCCAGCCAACCAGAGCAGAGTCCTAAGTGATCACCTGAGGCATCCGGTAAAGAAACGAAGGAAAAAGAACAGGTGGGACAGACAGAAACAAACAGCAAGATGGTAAATTTAATACATCCAACCACATGCATAATTAAGTTCAATGCGAACGGACTGAACACTAATTAAAAGACAGAGATTGTCAGACTTTAAAAAACGAGACTCGACTATATGCTGCCGACAAAAAACTTGAAATAGAAAGACTTCAAATGTAAACACATGGATAGGTTAAAAATAAAAGGATGGAGAACAATATATTAAAACCAACAGGAAAGGCAAAAATAATCCCCAGGTCATAAAAACATGAGGGAGAGGAGGAATGATGACTATGATTCAGAGCTCTGGAGACCTTACTGAAATCCTAGGACTAGAGCAGGAAGAAAACCAAGTAGCTCAGGTATAAAATCAACAGGTGGCAGAAAACCAATAAATAAACCAATGAATGAATAAATAAATAAATAAAAATGATTAAAAAGGTCAACAGGTGGCCAACTCACGATGACTTGCAGATTACAAAAAAATGCAAATCTCTCGTAGAAGATGTAGACAGACGGTAACCGGTTGAGAAAATAATCCAAAGAGGGCAGGGAAAGGAGAGAACATAAGGGGAGAGAACAGCTAAGTATATATGTGCATTTTAGGAGAAAAAGGGGAATAAACTGAGAGCGACTCGTACCTAAAATGAGCGCACACCTATAGCGCAATGTGCACCACACGGGGGTGGAGTCCGGGTCTAGAAAGGTCTTCTGCTTTCTCTTTCTGTAAGTGTGAATTTTTTGGTAATCAGAAAAGAACAATTTAAAAAGATGCGGGTAGATTTTGGCTAAGAAAGATGCTCAGTATGCAAGTGGACAGGGCTGAGGCCAAGGAGACAACGGGGAATGGCCTTCGAAACCGGGCAACATCCCAAGGTGCCCACATGCATAAGGCGGACGCAAGGGAGGAGGGCTGGCAGGAACTTGTGGGTAAACCCCCACGCTATCAGCCATGGCTAGGTGGGAACAGAAGGCCTCCTTTGGTTCCAACATCCACAGAAGCCCCGTTCCCATCTTTAACCCGCTGCCCAGCACAGGTGATTGCCCAGCATGTGAATGAAGCCCCCAGTGCCCAGTAGCCAAGGACCCTCTCTGAGCAGTTGGATTGTTCCTGGTATACATGTGATGTCTGTTTGACGCTGGCTTCCAA